GATATAATTTTAGGAAAACTGTCATTTAGAACAGACCACCATATGCAAACCTTAGCAAAAGTATATATATTATATACACACATACATACATATATATATATATATATATATATATATTAACCAGAACACAGTGGCATCTGCATTTGCATTAATCTGTCCCTGTAACATTCAATGCTATTGAACCACTTTTTGTGCAGTACGAGTAAAGGGGGAACAATTAAGTGCTTGCAGGAGTCAGATTTGACTGATCATGGGTCGAGAGGAGGGATGACCTACAAGACCATGGTGGAGGATTTGCTACTCAACAGATCCGGAGCTCATTGACAAATATCTTATATCGAAAGATGCGTTCCCTTTGCACAGAGTGCGCGTGATCGCGAAAGTGAACAACGCGAGTGCTCATTCAAAAAAGTTTTAAATATTCCCCATTGATAGATGCTCCCTGATACGCGAAAATTATATGCAATATTAGAATGTTTGCGAGAGCGGGCGGGACTGGACAAACCTTGCAGGAGCGGAACACACACGTTTTCACTGTTTAAGTTCAGAGGTAAGAAGACTGCTATATAGCGGTCGGGATATAAACTCAAAACGAAACAACTGCCATAACGATACTCCAATGTATCGATATTTTTTTACACCCCTAATTTTCAGTAAAATATTTCAATAAATTCAAAGCTACATGTCATTTGTCATTAGCGAAATACTACGGCACTGTTCATGAAGCAGAACTGCTACTGAACACTGTTGAGAGACACAAACTCACAGACGTAATTCACACACGACTAATCTCTCTCTCTCTCTCTCTCTCTCTCGCTCTCTCTCTCGCTCTCTCTAAAAACTTCATTATTAGTCTGCTATTAAAGGTTCAAGCCTCTGTTGCTAGGACTAGGGCCAGATTTACCTCTTGTGACAGGCAAAATAAAAAATGGGCCCCCCTTATTAATATATAATATTACCACCCCAAAACAGCAAACAAAAATAATGATATATCATAATGATTACTATATATTCACTAATTGCGACACCGTAACGGTTTCCGTGGATTACAACGTTCATCCATTACGTTCAGGCACTGAAGATTCAATATAGTTCTCACTCGTTTGAGAACAGAGAAAGACCATTTAATTAAGGAATGTTGACTGGAGTCATGACTGCATTACCACCTCGGGTGTACATTATATTTCTAATAATTCAATGGCCTGGACCTCAAGACATTGTTTGCAGATGTTTTATTTCAAGACATTTGTCATGTTTTTGTCATGTTTTAAACTTGTGTGTTACTAATTTCTTACGCAACCATCCCAAACCTTCCATTGCTAATTCCAAAATATCATTTTAGAGCTGATAAAGGAGGCTTGAGCCATTGAAATGGAGACTAATGCTAATTATTAATGCAGTCTAATGCAGATTTTAGAGAGAGAGTGAGAGATTAAGCATGTGTGAATTATTTGAGTTGAATTATTATTTTTTTTTATTGTAAAATTATTATTGTACTAATAGGTGAAGAGACAAATCTAAGTTTAACTGCTTCAAGAACAGTAAAGTTACCACCTTGCTACTGAGAAATGTCATGTAGCTTTTCAGCAGCAAAACTATTTTGCTGATAAATTTGCAGGCCAGTGCTGACAAGTTTGTTTATGTCTCTGTGTTTGTGCGTGACTGTACTGTATGTGTGTGCCTAGGGAGAAAGAAATGGTGCTTTTCCACTGCACAGTACGGCTCGGTATGATTCCCTTTTGGGGGGTTTTCCACTGGGTACAGTACCTGGTACCTGGTACTTTTTTTAGTACCACTTCGGTTGGGGTTCCAAGTGAACTGTACCGTTACCAAAACGTGACGTGTAAACTCTGCTGATCATGGATTGGCCGGAGAGAAACGTCACTACCTGTGTCACTGAACTTGTGCCACAAACACAACAGAACCGCTAGATTTAAATCAGCACAGCCAGCGAAGGATCGAATGCAACTGTTCAAAACCAAAAAGTTTTGTTGTTTGTTACGGAAGAACAGACGTTCCTCTCGTTGATAGCAGAGGAACGGATCCAGCAAGAGCTTGATGGGGCGACGGCTCGAACGCAACTGTTTTGAACGAGCGCACCTTTTTTAACAACCAAAAAGTGGCTGTTTCGTTGTCTGTTGAAGAAGTACAGACGTTCCTCTCGTTGATAGCAGAGGAACGGATCCAGCAAGAGCTTGATGGGGCAACGCGGAATGAAACATTTTTTTAGGAGTCGTGGTAGTAGAGGCGGCGCAACTATAACGACATGTGAATAATCCCGCCCACTCTAAAGCGGTACTGAACTGCAGTGGAAACGCAAACCGTGCCGAGCCGTGCCGTGCTGTACTTAGCCGTGCCGAGCCGAGTCGTACCACGCAGCGGAAAAGTGCCATTAGTGTGCTTTCCATAGACTTAAAAGGTGGAAAACATGGAAATAGTTTTATCCTATTGTTTGTTAAATTCATTTGCTCAATGTCATCTGGGATTTTGGTGCTTTTGCTGTTGTAAGTTGCCCATGGTATAACAATTATAAATATTTCTCTACATTGTAATTGGGCCCCCCTGGACTTATGAGCATAGGCACATGCCTAGAATGCCTGTGCATAAATCCGGCCCTAAAAATGATGTTTTAGAATTATCAACTGAGGTGTGGGATGAGATGTGTAAGAAATTAATCATACCCACATGAGCGTTTTAAGGAGAAAAACCTGACAAATGTCTTTAAATAACATCTGAACAATATTTGAGGTGTGGTAACCATAGTATAAGTGGAATAATTGACTCCGGTCAATTGAATGATTAGAAAATAATGCACACCCATGTGCATTAATTCCTAATAATTCAAAGGCCCGTCGTCAGTTATTCCTTACTTAATAGTTAGTGAGGTAGTTGTTAAGTTTAGGTATTGGGCAGGATTATGGGATCTAAAATATGGCCATGCATAATATGTCCTTAATAAGCAATTGTTACAGACAATTAAGTAGCAATGTTTTCATGTTGCTAGCGTATTTTGATAGTTTGATGGCTGTAGCTCTAAAACTCTAGGAGTTACGGTCAGAAATGTTAGTCTCAGGAGAAGAATAATTTTAAGTTTAAACAGGATAGCAGTATGATGGTTTTCTCAAATCAACATAACTGCAGCAGCACCTGAACACCTCACTGAGTTTTCGGCTCAATTTACCAAACAAAGTTTGGTAGCACTGTATTTTATTATTATTATTTTTTTAGATTCTGGCTAATAATACCAGTCCTAATCTGTAAAAAAGCATTAAGAGTCCAAATAAAGATTCTAGTCACTTTCTAACTGCTTTGTTTTTTGAAAGGTTCCCTGGTTACATGCGGTCTATGCCAGCATAGGAGCTGTTGTCTTCACGATGGTGAGAAGCAGATTAGTCAAGAAAGGATTATGGTTTTAAATGATGATTATTTGTCATGTGATCAAGGTGATATAAGGTAGACTGACCCGTGTCTCTTTCTCTTCTCTCACTTCTTCTGTCCCAGTTTCTCGCTTTTGATACACAGCTGCTGATGGGGACCAAGCAATATGCAATGAGTCCTGAAGAATATATCTTTGCAACACTCAGTCTCTACCTGGATATTGTGTACTTGTTCACATTCCTGCTGCAGTTGTTTGGTAATGGGACAGAATGAGCCATAGATTTGTTGTAATATTGTCCATTATTTACAATAGCGATAGCTAATGTTTCAAACTGTTCTGCAACCTCAATGTTTTTAGAACAACACGTTGCCTTTTATTTATTGTTAGTTTTAAAGAAAATCAACTCTGTAAGAATGTTTTCTCAGGTACTGAAATATGCAATTCATTAGTTACTCAAAGGTCAAAGTCAAAAACTTTTAATGTGACTGACTAAATCAATCTGACTATATGCTGCACCTAAACATGTGTAAGGATTCATTTTAAAATAAAATTAAAGTACAATTACAAATTAAGATTACAAATGTTCATTAAACCTAGACTTTTATCATGAACTATTGGCTTAAAATGAGCTACAAAAATTAAGTAAGGCCTTTTGCTTATGACAAATTATTTTGTTTATATTACTCTTGTGTGTCAATGACAATTTTCATTCAGCTGGTTCTTGAAAGTTCAGATAGTTGAGTTTATATTAAAGGGGTCATATGACGTTGCTAAAAAGAACATTATGTTGTGTATTTGGTGTAATGCAATGTGTTTATGTGGTTTAAAGTTAAAAAAACACATTATTTTCCACATACTGTACATTATTGTTTCTGCTCTATGCCCCGCCTTTCTGAAACGCGTCGATTTTTACAAAGCTCATCAGTCTGAAAAGCGAGGTGTGCTGTGATTGGCCAGCTATCCAGTGCATTGTGATTGCCCGAATACCTCAAGCGTGAGATGGAAATGTTACGCCCCTTACCATACTGTGATGCCGTGTACCGGCGCGATGAGACAACACCAATTAAACCCATTACAAATTAGGCATTTGTTGCATCCAGTGGGGACATAATTACTGATTATAACGACTTATACCGTCTTTGTACGCGTTGCATTACGTATCGCGCCGCGTAAACATAAAACCATGTCTGCATTTGTGATCGGAGAAACGACAAACAACAAGCGCTACTCTACACTGCTCAAAACTCGCATTTGAATCAATAGTGGCAAATCCTTTAAATATGAAAACGTACTTACAGACTGTGAGTCAGAAGCGCCAGACTGTCCTTGCAAAGTTGGAACTGCCCCACTTTATAGAAACAGCCTTTGTGCACAGACGCATTGTAGGCTACTCTGCAGGTTCAATATTTGGGTTGAACTGTTCTGGAACAGTGTTGTAAATACAACTTAACCACTAATTTCTAGTCATGTCCTCTTTTGGAAGGCCAAACAAAGTAGTTTCGCTTTCACAACGAAACACACAGCATCACACACGGCAGGCTTGAGTGAGCGGAGGCCGGAGGGCTTGAGAACGGCGTGGCTGGCGGATTCGACGAAGGAGCGGCCAGTGGGCTTGAGGCAACCACATGTGATGACCCCGGGCTGGACTCCGCTTCGTCCACGGTGAAAGCGAATCCGGCGATTCACAGCGCGAAGTTGATGTATTTTCTCAGCGACCTGCACTGATCAGCTCTAGGCATGACGAAACGGATATCCTCCTCTTTTGGAAGGACAAATGAAGTAGTTTCACTTTCACAACGAAACACACAGCATCTCCACGACATGGCGGCGGTGGCAACAACAATA